TCGATACTTTATGGACGTGATCGCCATCTGTTCAGGTGGTAGTCAACATAGCAGCTTCACATAGAACTGGGAAGACCACGGAGAGATCCATGGAAACATAAAAATTTTAGAAAACTGCTGAATAAAAAAGAAAACAGTCTCACGGGAAAAAGTGATTTGGATAGATATTCGCATGACCTGCAAGATTATAGCACCAATGAATATGTTCTAGGTCGTATATAAAGTGCATAAACACCCATACGAATCCAAATTAAGTTCTTTTTCATCTTCTCTCTACATGATAACACCTTGAAATTGCTCTATAATCCAATAATGTAGAGCATTGTGCAAAAACTACAATCGCTCAACGCACTTTCAAATGCACACTTCTTGAAGGTCCCCATTTCCATAGGCTGAGAAGGAAAAAGCCAAACGATTATTGTTAATAATAAGAGAAAAGTTATTCGATCCGAAAGTAATAGTTACCAACGATAATAGAAAAGCAAAACCAAGACGAGGAAGTGACACTGTAATTATGTCCGAGCGGTGTTTCCAATAAAACTATGCATGTTTTCAGAATTCTATTTATTTGACCGCCACTTGCGGTGGTATGATGTTGTAGTATACCCAATAATGTGGAATGCTGTGCAAAAACATTTGCGTCAGCCGGGATTCGAACCCAGATTTCACTCTTTCAGGGAGCGTATACTGACCGCTGCACTACCGACGAATCCCGGCTGAGCAAATGTTTTTGCACAGCACCACATTGTTGGATATGCATGTTTTGTTGATCATCTCAAAGATGCTTCTTCTGAACATTTGGTAGCAAAGATAAGATCTGATAAGATCAGCAATGGTGAGAGGGAAAGACTGAACTTCTCTGTCGATGGCAAGGGACTTTCGATTACACTAAGAGTCGCGCTCAGTTCATTGTCGAAAATCCGTTCGGTCACGCCTAATTTTTTGTCAAAAGAAAAAGAAATAGCCGATAGGTAATAAAAGGTTCATAATGCAATTCTCGCAGTAATTTATAGTCCATCAAAAAAGAGCAAAGTACTTTATAAACTGCATGAATCGAAGAGAGAGAAGTGTTTTCAAAGTAGGAGAGAAGAATGTAGGCATTTGCGCCGCCGACACCGCTCGCTCCACTCTGCCTCGGCGGTTGGTCGATGATCGTTTGTTGCCCATTTCGATGGCTTTTTGACCGCGTGTGTAAACAATCATGAACGAAGACGATAGAATTGAGAGAAAACGATGATATATAGAGAGAGAGAGATAGAGAGGAGGAGGAGGAGGGGGGGGGGGGGGGAAGAAAGAGAAGTATGAGAGAATGAAAGCAGTAACGAGGGAGAAAGAGTGAAGGAAGAGAGTGCAGAGTGTGTGATTGTTGGTCAAGAGTATTGTGCTAAAGTTATGCAGAGTTTTCACGACGGGTGGAAGAAAGGTGGCGAAATTTGAAAAGAAAAACATTGCAAATAAGTCTGAGAAAATTGGCTTCCATTAAAAGAAAACACTTGTGGGGAGTGACTGCTTATTAAATAGTCGACGATTCCATAGCAACTGTGACTCTGATAATCATCGCCAAACATGTCATCGACAAATGTTCAGTTTACTAACGAGAATGAATGGAAGTTTTTCCCATATTCCACTTTTCATACCCTTTTTTTTTAGACTTTACTCAAAATAATACTATCTGACAATGTATTTTTTATGCCTATTACCTATATTTTTTGTCTATAAAAGACCTCATGAAAGGCTCAAAACATACACTGTCAAATCATAGTACATTTTTCTTTCGATAATTCAAAAACCACATGGCAACAAAGTAATTAAGCCTCCAATTCACAAAATGAAACTCATTTTGAATCACTAAAGCGACACGCGGGCTGTGATGTGGCTAGGATCAGAAGCAGCAGAATGGTAGATTGCTTGGAGATCGACATCGATGACGATGATGGGTTTGTCGTATTGCGCGACAACTGCTGTCAAGTGAAGACGATAAATCTATCTTCAATGAGAACAAAACAACCATTCAATTCTTCTAATGATCTCCGATTATTCGTATTATCGCTCTTTAGATATTCGCTATTCGGACATTATCGACTGGATTTGTGACAGTTGTCTTCGACACATAAAAAACCTATATACGACCACGGAAACTCGATTTGAATACTGATGATATCATTTTTAGATATACAGTATACCGAAGAACGATGAAATCGCAGTTGGGCATAAAGATTAAGACGAAATGAACGATGAAGGATATCAAGGATCGCATACATCCATTACTATTCTCGATATGCCTATTCAGCTTTACCTACAAGTAAATCCTGGTCATGGTTTGGCATCATGTCTGATGAAAAAATCATATGATGAAATGATGATGGGAAGAGATGACTGACATGTTCGAGTGTGAGTCATGAAAGAGTGTATGGTAGCACCGAACTTTTTATCAGTGTGACTCGACTACAACCGCATTCGATAGCCGGCCAAGTCACATTTGCGCGTTCTCCGTAAGAGAAACAACGGATTTCTTCATTTGAGAGAATTTCCGTGAACGAAACTTAACGATACATTAAACGTCAACGATTATGGTTCACGATACAATTATGAAACTGGTTAAGAGTTGAATTCAGATTTTCATTTATTACTGCTGAGACGTCAAATGAATCATCAAACATCTAGGGAAAACTTTTTCCGAGTTCAACATTTCAACTATATTAACTCGTTTCTCGACACTCTAAATAGACGTAGACGCGTCAAGAAACGAACGTTGATGATCTCCCTGGAGTGGAGGAGGTTGAGAAAGTTCTGAGGAAGGAGGACACTGGAGTCTTCTTCAGTTTTCCTCACAATTCACTCAACTCCCCCATTTCAGAAATAAAAGTTTTACACAGAAATTCAGAAAGGAAAGAGTCAAAATTATAACCTGATATCGTAGGGATCCATTAAATAATTCAGCAAGCTGAATCGACAAAAAGGTATGCTTGAAAAAAAAAAACGAAATAACCAATGTAATGTCATTAAGTCGTACGATTTTTAAGTGAGTTGCTTTATGTCATTCAAGATATGCTGAAAAACAGTAGAGGCACTAAAAATGATATTAATGGTAAATTCTCGACATTCAAGAACGTACGAAAAACGAGATTATGATAGAAGGGTAGAGCTCTCAGTGTTGATCAATCCGTGAGTGATTTGTCATGCACCCGATACAGTAATACCTAGCATATCGTACGCACACTATGATGTCCGTTGGTATTGTGTTTCTGACCTCTTAAAAGAATTTTCCAATGCCTCGTTGAGCACTTACAAGCCCATGTGCCAATTTGTGGGCCAAGAAATTGGTTCGCCGAGTCCTTACTGATACTAAATGATTACTGATTTGAAGGCGGCACATCTATCGACGTATTAAAATAGTGCTGCTATCCTTCTAGACAAGTTTGATATCTTTGTCTAGTGTGCTAGGATAAGGAGTGTTTCGTGAGCTCACAATGGGGATCGAGCCAATGACGACTATTTGTGCGATGAACGACACTTCATCCATTGCGCAAGTTTAAATCGATTATTCACAAAAACAACTGCATTCAACGTAATGAATCGTAGTTGGAATTATCGCAAGAGTACAGCCACGATATTCTGAGATATAATAAATTGCATTGATGTTGCTCATTAGAGACGGCTGGAGGCGAGCAAAACGAGGAGGAAAACTGAACCTGCAGACACGAAGAGTAGGCGGAGTGCAGAGAAACAGAGCATGTGCGCCGGCTATATTCAATGCTCCTCCGTTCAGCGATTTGTGAGACATCTAGGGGAACGAATTTCTCCTCGAGCAGATTGCTCACATACGAAAAGGTTCATGGAGTCAAGTAATCGAGAGTTAGTTTCGAGTTCGAATCAATCGATAACTACGATGTTTGTTCTCCGTAATGATTGATTGAGAGATGGCTAGCTCGATGAGCTACACATGGCTTTCTTTCCAGAAATAATTGAACTAGAAGGCACTAAGGGAGAACTCGATGCATTTCATGTCTCTCAAAACAGTAGAGTACAGCGCTACGGGTATGAAGAGGCAGATTACCAAGGTGCTTGCTCAATCATTCACTCATCCACACATCGTCCGGATAGGTTTTCATCTTACCATTTTTTAATATTCAGTGATGTAGAGCAATGTGCAAAACTTTCGCTTCAGGCGGGACTAGAGCCCGCACCTCATTCTTTCCGGGAATGCGTGCTCTATCCGTTACACTACTGACGCCCATTTTACACATCGCTCTTTTCCACTCTTTATCGCACCTATCTGCCAGCCTCCAGCCGTCAACGGCCTGGCCCGGGTAGTCGATCTCGACATTGAACCCAGTCAAGCTGGCAGATTAAGGGATAAAGGATAAAGCGCTCGGCGTTAATCAATCCCTGAGGGATGGGCCATGCATTCGACTTCAATTTTTAACTTCGTTTGAGGTGATTGAATGCACATCTGGCCTTTACAATGACTCGCGGTGGCCTCCCGCTGAACCGAGTCAGTGCTGCTTATCCTCCTAGACAAGTCTGAAACCTGTGTGGTACCAATTTACCGGCCCCGGAGGGATAGATGGCTTGGTGAGCCATGAGCGCGAGATCGAACCAGTGACCTCGTGTGCGACGCAGGGCACCTCTAACCACTGCGCCACATGCGCTCTCGCTGGCAGATATTGCGTATTAAAGATCAAATAATATTCGTTTTTATTTGACCGCTTCTAGCGGTGGGTGCGTTGAAGAGTAGAAAAGAGCGATGTGTAAAATGGGCGTCAGTAGTGTAACGGATAGAGCACGCATTCCCGGAAAGAATGAGGTGCGGGTTCTAGTCCCGGCTGGCGCGAAAGTTTTGCACATTGCTCTACATCACTGGGTATACATTTGAAATATCGTACCACCGCTAAAAGCGGTTAAATAAAAACGAATATCATTTCATTTTTTGATACTGTTAGTAGTGACAAGTAAAATTTCAAAATACACTTGCTGTGTAAATAGTGGCAGAACCGAATGCCGGTGGTGCAATGGTTAGCACGTGCTTCCGGAAAGAGTGAGATGCGGGTTCGAATCCTGTACAACGTTCAACGTTTTACGCATCACTAAGTATTGATATATATTTGCAACATCATAGCACCGCTTAAAGCTATTGAACTGAAAAGAATTCTAACTGATTACGTATTGTTACTGTAGCCCGCTGAATTCGTCTTCAAAGTTGGCTCACGACCATCCATACCCACGGTAGTTTACCGCTTTATCGCTCTGCGACATCTAGATCGTGATATACAGCGGCAAATTTATCACTCAACAAGGTTTCTAAAGCCGCGAAGGTGTGCGACGCTTCTATCCAAAAGCCCATCTATGCATAAACCATCACCTGGAAGATGGCAAACCACCTTCTGGTCCACAAAGGCCGGCAATTGTCTGTAATAGTAATAAAAATGTTATGGCTAGGCTGATCTAGAGGCTTTACGAAACTGTAAATTGCTCGTCTAGCAATAATTGAGCTTCGGTATCTTTCACACTGTGCACTCTCGTCCACGACATCGTGCGGTGAGACAATCGGTGAGGAGAGATCCAATTTCAGGTTGCATAAGACGTTACTAAAACCGGACCAAACAAACTCACTAAAGCCATAGAGATTGCCTCTTACTCTGCACATATAATGGTTGAATCCTGAGGAAATCAAGTAAACCGTTCAAATTCTTGATATTTATGCTATCGAAAGATTGCTAAAAAGGCAAATTAAGTGAAAAATACGTTTTATGAAATATGAGTGTGGATAGGAGAAAAGTACCGGAAATATTACTCGTACTACAAAAGAACAAACCCTTTCAGTTCAAGTGTTTTCTTAAGACCACGCTCAAACATTGCTATGCGTAATAATCATTTTTGAGCCATGCATGTGGTTTGTTATAGGGCAACTTATAGAGCCTGTTACACGTGTTTCGATCTCGACAGTCTCATCAGTCGGGCAGTACCCTACGTTTTTATTCTAGCCAATCCTCACGTGGGAACTCATCCTCTTATATAGAGTTGGCGAAAACGATATTTTACACGTTCCATCAAGTGAGAATATCACTGAATGGACTGTTTGTGCACTCGATTGCTCTTAACTGGTATTGTTAAATATATTTGCGAGTGCTTTCTTAAGACCACTCTCAAGGTCGAGGCAGGTGTATCGAGTTCCATATGTTGTCTTTAAGCCCTATAACAGACTACATGCATGGCTCAAAAAATGATTTTCAAGCATTTTGACGTATGAGCGTCGTCCTGAAAAGACTCTCGAAGGAAAAGGTATGATATATTTAACAATACCGGCCAAGATCAATCGAGTGTAAAACACTGTCTAATCAGTGATATTTCCACTTAATACTTTGAGGACCATGCGGCGTCAAATCTCCTTAGTTGCTGCAATGGCGACGGAGTGCCCGTGAGAACGACGGCGAATCTACTGAGAAGACAGACTCCAGGCAGCATGATGGATGCGATGTGACGAGTCCAGGTGGTTTCTGAGAGAGCGTTTTCATCACAAAATGATGAAATTTCATTCAAAAAGTTTTTACAGGGATGTTCTCGGTAGAAAACATTTATATCTTCCATATTTCGTCTGCATTTCATATGTGTCAACAGGATAACTGCTTTGCTAAATGATAACCATAATGATAATGACAATGATAGTAACAATGATTATACTTTCGATAATGCTAATATTACGAAAGTGATAATAATTGTCACTGTTTTGGGATGTTTTAGAGGTCTTATAAGGGTACTTACACAATGTTAGACACTGCAGTGACTAACAGTCGAACTTGTAGCTGATAAAATGAACATACTTTCACTCGATAATGATAATGGTAATATTGATGGTAGTGAAAACGAAAACGGTAGTGAAAAGTGACAATGATAATTTTAGTGATAACGATAGTGAAAAAGATGATGATGATAGTGATCTCGATGATGGTGATAATGATGGTAGTGATAGTGATAGTGATGATAGTGGCATTAATGATAGTGATAGTGACTAGTGATAACAATGATGGTGATAATGATCGTGATAGTGATGACAGTGATAATGACGATAGTGATAGTGATCATAGTGATAGTGGTAATAGCGGTAGCGGAAATATGATAGTGATAATGATAATCGTGACAGTGATAGTGGTGATGACGGTAGTGATGAAAGTGATATTGGTAATAGTGATAATGATGATAGTGACAGTGGCCATAGTGATAGTGGTAGTGATAGCAGTGATAATGAAGACGGTGATAGTGACAACGATGATGGTGATAATGATGATAGTGGTAATGATAGTTATGGTGATATTGACAGTAACACTGGCAACTTCCAAGTGGTTGACCATACCCAGAGTGTACTCTCCTCTGCCTTCGTTATCACTGCTTCCCACTGTCTCAATCACCTACCGAGACGGCGGCGTGGAATGAAGGCGCTTGCTGTAACAGAGCCCAGGCACATCAGTTTCTCACAGAGACGCAGATCCCACGGCTTGAGAGTGCCACGCAAGCGACGACGCGACGCCGCTTGCCTATCAACGGTGGTCGTCAAATGGTTAATGGAACGTGTAAAAAAATCGTCTTGGTTAGAATAAAGACAAAGGACTGCCCGATTGATGAGACTGTCAAGGTCGAAACACGTCTATTGGGCTCTATAAGTTGCAACTCAATTCTAAACCCACTCAATTCTCTAAGTTATATAAGAACATGATAACACTGCGAATAAAGCAGTGAAAATACTGTAATTTCTATAAGTTGCCCCATAACAGACCACATGATGGCTCAAACAACGATCATCAGGGCAAAGTCTCTTCTATAGCTTTAAAAAGGCTCGAACTCTTGAAGTACACTGATCTCTGGAAATTGTGAGTGTCATCGATGAAGTCGGCGTCACATTGCAATGTGTATATCATTTTTGACGAATAATTCAGTGATTTGAAATTTTCTGGGATATTCCAACCAAAAACAGCTTTGTTGAAGTCTGTTATATCATGGTCAATCAATTACCGACGGTCAAATCCCCTATAGTGGTGATAAAAATCTGTCATCAAAAACTATCACATTGTCATTGTAATTCGCTACGCTTGCCGCTCCACCGAGCTCCTGGCGCGTGAACAATCTAAGTGGGACAGAGGGAAAGTATACACGTTATTTAGTGACCTTTTTTCGCTCGACATTTTTTTCCATTAGATTGTTAATGGTGATTCGATATTTTGCAACCCACTGGTTTTGTACAAGGGCTTCTTCATGGAAAGTCCTTCTCAGCGCATTGCACTACCAAGAGTATTTTAGCCCTTTAAGGATCGTCGTTGATAGGCAGGAGGCGCGATCGAGTTTGCGGTTGGAGCACGTAATCTTCTCAGGGTTGTAATCTCATAATAATATAGACTTTTTTCGGCACTTAAAGGGATTTCGTCATCAGTAAAAGATGGATTCAGGAAGAAGAGACTTCAGTAAGACTATTTTTAGTTGGAACATGCCTTAATAGTTACAAAGCAAGGCTTGTCTGTCAAAAATGGTACTGCACTTGCCATGCAATGCCTCTTCATCAATTACTCTCTAATGTTTACGATCATCAACATACCTCAAAAGCTCAGACGTTCTTAAAGGTCGAAGAGACTTTGATCTATTGCAATGTGGGTTACAACTTTTCATATTATCCACTTATATCAATCCTTTAGAAATGCGCCATGCATTCGTCTCCATTTTGTAGTTTCATTTGAGGTGGTTGGAGGTGTACAAGGCCTTTAAAATGACTGACGGTGGTCTACCGCTCAATTAAGTCAGTGCTGCTCCTTTCACACAAATCTGTAATCATTTTGCAAACTCCGGTGAGATCGACGGCTTGATCAGCCACTAGTGAGATCGCACTACTGACCTTGTGCTCGACGCAGAGCACCTCCTAAGCACTGCGTCACATGCGCTCCTCTCATCAAGAGTGGCTAAATGGCGTTTATCACTCAAAATGCGATCATGAACTTTACTTGCTAAGACCCTATCTTTTCTTAGCGATGATATCTCCACATAATCAGAATCTATCCATATATTTATTTTTGCCTTTATTACTTCATTTACACGACCCCTCATCACAATTTTTTTGTTGTGCAGATCCCAGTACTTCTAGCATTCGACTCGTTTTTCTCCTTTTCGAGAATGACGCAAGAAATCTGGTGGGCATGTGCCCTTGAAATTACGTGGATAGCTTGGCTGTGGCGCTCCATAGGGCGTTCTTGTTGACTGCCGGAGAGTGTCGACAGATGAAGCTCGGCTCCATGCGTGCCGTGACAAGCATCACAACTACTCGACCACGATACCCCGATTCTAACTACATGATACTAAAAAATTCGCTGTTTAGTTAAGATAATGCACTTCAAAAGATAAATGTTATTTTTTTAAAATAGTAATACGCAGTATGAAAGTATAACTAACCAAACATCAAGCTCAGTGTGAAAATCGGCGTTTCGCGAGCTCTCGGATGACTACCTGCAGAAACATCGATCAAAAAAACAGGAAAAAATGTGATATTACAGCTGGATATGTTTCCTTTCATAGCGTGTAGTTTTTTTTTTGTTAAAATTCAAGAGATAGAGATGGAATACAAGACATATAATGATCAAATAGCATTCTTTCTATTTAATCGCTATTGGCGGTAATACGTTGTTGTAAATATACCCAAAGATGTAGAGTGATTTGCAAAACTTTTGCGTCAAGCGGAATAAAATATGTAAATGTTCCATTTACTGAATTGTCTCTGCAGAAGCCTATTCAATAAAGTTCCATCATTTATAGTGAAAATGTGCCCTCAGAACCTTAGTTTACCTTCCCTATTTCCATTGCGGTCTGCACTAATACAAATACACGGAAAGGGTGACGACTTCGTAACAATACCTGACTGAGATTTGACATCGCGCTGCAGGGCACCAAAGGTACCGTCTGGTCCTCAAAGGGTTAGCGGCGAGAAAGTATCCCTTTGGAGAGATGTATGATTCAAAGAGTGTAGCCATTGAAGAGGCGAAGAGAAGCCTCTGTCGACGATATAATCTCGCACAAGGAGTTCGGCACCAATTTTGGTAAC